AACAAACATATATCTACAATTTTTGATTTCGTAGCAATTCTCAAAATTTCTAAATGTAACATTTGTGACACTGGCATTTTTTGTCTCTTTATGAAACTAACAGGTATATAAATGCACATATTAGCTTATCTCCTAAACCAAATGGAATTAGGGATCAGTGAAAACCCAAAGTGCATCATTCCCCAGTAAATTGTCTAATCTGCTTTCATCATTTGCTTTGTCCGATGCAAATATATTCCCCACCATCAAGTGACAACTGACATAGACCACATCCAGTGGTAGCACTTCCCATATGACAGCCACTGTCAGCCCAGTTCTATTTTGGAAGTAGTTGGAAAAACCTGTATTGGCCATATAGTGGCATTATACCAATGTATTGCTGTATGAGCAACCTGCTTGTATCTTTAATTTGTGATTTAGGAATTAACCATAAAAAATGTTAGGCAAGATGTCCAAGATGTAAAGTTAGTGGCAGAAAAATACCATATCTTTTTTGTCTAGTTTAACAGTAAATCTGTATTGATTAAAAGCTTTATGTAAAAAGTAAATGCAGTTGGAAATTAAATGGACATCAGATAATGTAATAAACTCACCTGGGCGCAATCCCAGATTGGAGTCCAACACCGCCCACTCCATGGTGTCACTCCGCTCCTCCTCCCTCCAGCCGGCTGTGAGATTAACCTCCCTGGCGGTATGATTATTCAGGATTTTAGGTACCAAAAGCGGTACATTGTTTTTCAAGCAAATATGTTGTTTTACATTGTACGCCTGTAGTTCTTAGTAAATCCTAGGAGCTCAGTGATGTGCGAACTTGGTACTTTATTTACTGTGGTACGGATCAGGCAACGCCCCCAGAATTCCCATTTACTGGACCATTTTTTAAAATTATTTTATTATAATTTTTTATAATTATTTATTATATTATATTTTCTTATAATTGTGAAAAAGTGTCAGGCAGGGCACTGGACAAAGCTCTAGGGACAAAATTGAAGTGAAATAGTTTGATACATAAGTGTAATCATAGCAGATTACATTGTATTGTGTGTATTCTGTGTACATTACAACTTTTCACTTTTGAATTTCCCGCCGGCTGTGACGCCCGAAAACGAAACTAAAAGTCAGATGCCGGCTTTTAGTTTCATTTTCGGGCCGCGTACAGCAGAGGACGCCGCGGGCTCGCAGGGACAAGGTGAGTGTCACTTTTCTCTGCAACCCCGAGTCTGGCTCGGGGTTACCGCTCCTAGCATGGAAAATTCACCCCGAGCTAGACTCGGGAATACCACCAGGGAGGTTAAAGCTGCAAAATTTGAAATGCTCAGTGACCTAGTATTGTGGCACAGTCCATGAACCCATCACACTCAAAACCACTGTTCCTTATAAAAGATGGGTGCTGCGGCAGTCGACGGATGGCAACCGTCTATAATCACAGGATAACATAGACACCGGCACTCCAAGTAATGAATCAATGGCGTCTGTTTATTGTCGCATGAAACATAGCACAATGCATCAAAAAGCAACCCTATAACATTGTGACAGACACTGAGCATTTCCCCAGCTCTGCTATACCGCTCTTCAATCCTGAGTTTCTTCCTCTGGACCTAGCGCATTGGCATCCACTGTAAGGGCTATACACCCTCGCCATTCTGAATCTTCAATCACCTTTACCTTCTCCATTCTGGACTAACAGTTTCAGCAAGACATCTAACCTTGCCATCCTGGTGTACGAATACATAACTCTTTAACCTGTCACCATCCATGGTTATGCAGCACTCCCACTTCCACTCAGCAGGTCAAGGATTCCGCTGACCACTTAAAGGCACAGTATGCTCCCATACAACCCCTGCAATACAAGCCTCCTGCTCTTTCTTTGCTTCCCTTGCATCACCACAAGGACTCATAGGGGACAATATACTGTGAGCCTCCCCTGACATCTCCTCCAGCAACCAACACAGCTAACCTTAAGTATACAGGAAGGCATTTGTCTCATTCTGATATTTCATCTCATTGCTGTGATCCTATTAGACATGTGCGATTCGTTTCGGAAAAATTAGTTTTTCGGACGAATTTTTGTTATTTGGAGATTCGGATGTATCTGAATTTCCGAACAGAAACGACGAATGAAAACAAATCCGAATTTCCGAAAACGAAATTTTGGACGAAATTCGTTAGTGGTAGTCTGTACAAAATGTAGTTTGTGGACAAATTTTCGTTGCAGCAAAGCGACATTAAAAATAATTAAAAAATGTAATTTCACTCTGCTGCAACGAAACAAATACGAAACAATACTTCGTACAGACTACCACTAACTAATTTAATCCGAATCCCGAAACAAATTGACTTTCAGACCCGAATCCCGAAAAACAAAATAATTCAAAATCTGAATCAAAACGAAACTAATGTTTTGCCAGTGCACATGTCTAGATCCTATTGATAAGACCAATCCCGATAGAGAGTGGGTTAACCTGGTGAAATAATGTTTAGTGTGATGGACTTATAATTCTTAAAGTGGACTGTTGTAATATTTCTGGAGATTATAACTAGTCTTATATGAAGTAATAGAAGAATTTAAACCTGCTTTTGGGACTGTTTTTACATAAAGATTCTAAACCCTATTGTACTTTGAACACTCACTATAACCCCTTGCTCCCAGGTTAGGCCATTTGCAGCCAGAGCCACAGCTATGATCCACCTGAGATTAATTATTTTAGCAGAAAGTGCTACTGTGACAGATAAGCACAGAACCCAAGATCCTCTAGTTTAATGATCACTCTGATTAGTATTAACAGATAGCATTCAATGTAAGTTGTGTCTGAATTAGAATCCTTAAAATTGCTATGGCAGTAGTCTATTGTTTTTCTAATAGTGCAGTAATTAAAAGCTTGTACTGACCATTCAGATATGTTGGCACCTGCTACCTAAATAGAGATAAATACTGTACATAAGTTATTGTGTTTTAGCTGGAGGTGGAGAATTGTCTCTTGCTTTGCTGTTGGTCAGCAGACCATTTGCTTGCACTAGATCGACTAGTGAAAACTACCCAATTTATATTCATCTTCAAATCACGAGTTTGAATGAAAATTAAAACTTTGCTTGTTTGCCACAATTCCCAGATTTGCTAAGCAAACTTGCTAAAACACTTTCATTAGTTAAATAGTTTACAAACTTCATCCATGCACAGAAAAATATTTTAATCACAATGGGCGCAGGAAAATTAATCTTGCTTTCAAAAATGGTGCTTCAAATTTTAGATGCACACTTGTTCCTTTATTTCTTGAACACATATACTGATTATAGTCAGTCAAAACAAAGCAAAATATTAATAAAAAACTATCTTACCATCCACATTTGTAATAGTCCAGGAGTTATCCAAGGTAAGGTATGAAATTAAATCTGCTTTGTGCCTGTTTATGAATAGGGTAGATCAGATTACTACCCATTTAAGATTGCTGGCATAAATTATACGGCATGGGGTTTAGATATTTGAGACAGCCAGTATAAATTGAATGCAATAGTTTTAAAATAGAATAGATAATCCATTAAAACATGAAAAAGTACAACTTATTCCTCTTTAAATCTAAACTCCAGAAAGCATAAAGATAATCCAGTTATACAGTATAATTATTTCAAAAATAATTTTCTCAGAAACTGTATTCTTGCTGTTGATATGTTATAAGTCAAAATGGCATCTTCAAAAACAATATTTTTAGTTTTGGATTGGAACTTTCTAATTATCATCTAAACCCCAAGCGATGTGGACACTGTGTTCTTATTGTGTTAAAAGATTGTGGTTACAATAAAAGTAACTCTTCCATTCAAAATTAGTTTAAGAAAGTATGGGATAAGGAAAAGAGCTTTAAAAAAAAATAAAAATAAAAAT